TTCCCAATAGCAGTGCCACTTGAACATGTGCTAATTTTACTTGTACATATTCATTTGGATGGAAAGAATATTGGTAAGTAGCCTGATCCCACTGATGGACATGGACAGAAAGTGTGTCGGTATAAAGAACATTAGAGACGGCGCAGCGGGGCTCTGTGGCCACCTCCAGGGCACATTCTGTGGCAGGTTCCATGGCAGGCTCTGGTCAGCGACGCAGCCCCTGTGGACTGGCATCCCCTCGCCCCCAGTGCAGCAGGACCTGCAAGGGTGTGGGGAGACAGCAGCCAGCTGGGATCCACCAGGACTCACCGGGAGGGCTGCTTCTGCCTGCTCTGCCCCCTCCCGTCCTTTCCTGGCCTTGTCCCGGCTGTCCGTGGGCCCTGGGCTGTGGCAGGGGTGCCGGCTGCAGGTGCATGACCAGGGCGGGGCATGGGCCACCAGCAGGCTTTGCAGGGCCCCTTCCCCTGCCCCCTTCACGGCTGCATCTGTCTCTTTCCTCCGCAGGGGGAGGGGTTGCACCAACTACGCGAGGCTTTGAAGATTTTAGCTGAGAGGGTTTTAATCTTGGAAACAATGATTGGGCTCTATGGTGAGTAGAGACAGACGGACAGACAGCCCAGCCCCTGCCCACCAGCCTTGCCCAGGCCCTCCAGGGTGGAGCTGCCTGGGCCCAGTCATGAGGCCGGAGAGGCCAAGCCCACCGACCCCTCAATGACTGGTCCCTCCGACACAGGGGAACCTGGGCCTCACCTCTGTGGTCAGACTTGGGCCTCCTGGCATTGTGGGTAACGTGGCTTCCAGGCCTGCAGGGGACACCAGAGGTGACAGATTGCGAGTTTGGAAGAAATCCACAATGAAGCCAAGCTCCAGACCAGCAGGAAGGGGATTGTGGGTGACAGAGCCAGGCTGCAACAGTACAGGGGGTTGTGGGAAATAAAGTCAGAGCCCAGGCCTGCAGGAGGATTATGGGTAATGGATCCAGACTTCAGTCAGGCTTCAGCTCTAGAGAAAGCATGGGTAACAGAGCCAGTCTCCAGGGCAGGGGGTTGTGGGAAATAAAGTCAGAGCCAGGCCTGCAGGAGGATTATGGGTAATGGATCCAGATTTCAGTCAGGCTTCAACTCTAGAGAAAGCATGGGTAACAGAGCCAGTCTCCAGGCCCACAGAAATGCAGGGGACTGCGAGTGACAGAACCAGACTCAGGCCCCAGGGGCCTCTGGGTAATATCCTACCCACCAATTCTGATCCTCCCTCACCCAAAAGCCCCCAGAGGCCTCCCAGCAGGTCTTCCTGGCCTCAGATATCCCCATGACAGCTTCCCTTTCCCTCTGGTCCTCCTAACCTCCCCTGAGGGTCCCTGTAGGGGTCTGTCAAGCCCTCATCTCAGCCCAGGAATTCACCCACCAATCCTCTACCCATCATCCATCTGGTCACGTGAGGAGCCAGGCTAGCCCTGTCCCCACTCAGAGACTCACACCCAGGCTCCTGCCTTGAAGCCAGCTGGTGCCTGGCCCATGCACCCGCCTCGGCCCCCCGGCCCCGCCCTCGGAGGCCGGACTCGCACCGTCTGCTCTTCTCGATCTCCCATCAGGCTCCTAGCTTACAGAGCTTCCTGCAGCAGCAGGCTCAGCTGGAGCTCCTGGCCAGACGGGTCACCCTGCTGGAAGCCATCATCTGGCCAGGTAACGGCAGGGGGGGCCGGCAGGGGCAGCCCCTTCCAGGAAGGGCCTGGGAAGGGCCGGGGTCACAGAAGGCAACTCCCAGTGCTGGACCCAGGCCCGCGGACACTCATTCTTGAGTCCTTCCATCCAGCTAGCAGACAGGGCCTGGCACGGAGAAGGCTAGGGTCACTAGTTCTTGAGGGAGCGAGCACCTCCTCTGTGCCCGGCTTCTAGCTTGGCACAGGCTCCAACAGATAAGACAGACATAGTCCTGTTCTCATGGAGTTTAGGCTGTGGGGGTGCAGCGGGAGCCCTGGAACTGGCCGTTAAACCCAAGGTGAGGAATACCACGGGGGAGTGAGTACAGGCAGCTGTGAAAGCACAGAAGTGCCCCTGACCAGGCTGTGGGTGGAGGGTGGGGGAGGAGGAAGGTGTCTCAGGGAGGGCTCCCTGGAGGAGGTACTGGCTCAGTGGAACCCTGAGGGGCAAAGCTCAGGGCAAGTGAGCAGGCAGAGGAATAACATGGGCAACAGCCAAGCCAGAGGGCCTGAAGGGACCGTTCCCTGAGATTGCTGAGGGCTGAATGCTGTGGCAGGGCCCAGTTGGAGAAGGTCCTTGAAGGCCATTGGGGAAGCACAAAAGGAGGTTAGACACCAGGTGGGTGTTACCTCTCCTGGGCCTGGTTTGTCCGCTAAGGAGTCTCCCCCATTGCAGTGCAGTCTGTGGCTGGCCCTGGAGAGACGAGGATTAGCTACCCTCCGGGCTAAACCGTTCCTCACCTGCCTGCTAAGAGGCCCCATCTCACCACCCAGTCCTGGCTCATCAGTGCACACAGGGTCTCGGGTGTCATGCCCTACCTCCCATCTAGGTTACAAGTGGGGGAGTTGAGGCCCCCCCCCTCCCCAAGCCAAAGTGGGCCAAAGCCAGGGCTGAGCCTCCTTCATTCGACAGAACTGTAGGGTGCACCTACTGGAGGCCAGGTCTGGGCCAGCACTTAGCAGGCCCCAAGGATACCTGCCTTGGGGAGCTGCCATTGAGGGGCAGGGGATCCTTCGTATCTATAGAGACGAGGGCCCTGGGGTCCAGGGGCACCAAGGACGTGGGTGAGAACAGTCACTTCTCAGTGGGGGTGGGACACTTCCTGGAAGATGGGGCTGGTGTTAGGTCAGGGAAGGTGCCAGCAAGCGCGCCAGCAGGAGAAGGTGGGAAGGGCAGCGCCCCCCCCCCCCCCCCCCGCCCCCCGGTTTGTCACGGTGAAGGCCCGGAGGTTGGAAGGTGTGTGTGTGGTCTGCTTCCAGAGCTCCTCTTACCAGACCACATGGCTCTTCTGACTCCTAGAAACATAACTGACCACCTCCCAGACCTCCTTCCTCTCCCAGAGGAGGGACCTATGACCGAATCCCAGGCTCTCAGCACCTTCTCAGGTGCCCCCACCTCCTCAGGCAGGAGCCACAAGGGACTCATTGTGGCCTGGGATCTATCCCCCGCCCTCCCTCAGCCCAGGGAGGAACTGCTGGTCACTTAGGAAGGCCCATGGCCACTCTCTGTGGCCACGAGCCTAGAGCAGGGATCCCACGAGCCTGCCCTGGTTGTGGGCCTGGGAGGGGTGGTGTGGGAGGAGGGGAGCAGAGGAGGAGGAGGAGGAGATGAAACCATCCCCGTTGGCCCATCATGCACAGCGGTGCTAACTAAAGACCCAGCTGGGACTCACGTTTAGGATACAATCAAGAATAACAATAGTAACCGCTGGGCTGGAGGATTTACAATCCTCTCCAGTCCTCACACCAAGCCTGCTAGGTGGGCGGTAGACACCAGGCCCATTTCACAGATGAAGAAAGGGGTTCCGGGGGCTTGCGTGTCTCCCTCGGGCCGTAGGGGCAGCAGTGGCAAGGTCAGGGGTCCACCCGAGGTCGGTCCTCTAACGCCCTGGCTCTTTGGGCTCCATCGGCAAAGGTTCAGACACCCCTTCTCCACCAGGCACTTGGGGGCGGGGGGGGGGGGGGGGGCCCAGAGGAAGCCAGGGGGGGGGGGGGGCGGTCCAGAGGAAGCCAAGGCCCTGAACTTAATCATTTAATTCATGGTCACAAGCTCACCCGTCCCAACGACCAAGTAATCCAGCTCGTACTGGGAAAGCCACTGAGGCCATTAAGGGTGTGACAACAGGAGTGCGACCCCCGAGTTCCAGAGGAGGCTCCAAGGTCTGTGACTGGCCCAAGGCCACATAACGGGGACGTGGTGGGACAGGACTTGGCCTTGGCTGACGTTGGAGCCCTGCTTCCCTCCTCCTGTCCTCCCCGATTTAGGGCGTGAACTGTCCCCTTGACTGTGACATGTTTATTTGCCGAGTCCCCAGATCTCAGCCCAGAGGTGCATGGGAGGCTGGGCACAGCGCCAGGGACTTAATGGTTATGAGGAGGCAGTGCCCTCCGGGGGACGCTGGTGCTACCACAGGTCCCGTCTCCTGTGAACCGGATTTGGGAGATGTAGTCAAGTCCTCCATCCTGGGCTTTTCCCTGAGAGCCGCTCTCCCCCTAGAAAAACAGCCCATCCTCCTGACCGGCCTGGCCTGCTCGGTTAGCTTTGGGAGGGACTGAATGATAGTCACAGAAGGCTTCCTAGAGGAGGTAGGTCATGCTCTGGGTTTTGAAGGATGAGTAGGTTTTTAGATGGCAAGAATGCCAATTACTCGTTTCACTCTTGGGGTCTAGCTCCTTTCCAGGCGGGGGCCTATCTCACCATAGCCTGATTGGAACTGACTTCAATAATTACAGGAGCTGGCCAGGGCTCGGAGTACAACTGGAACAGTCCCGCTGGTTTTAGAGATGAGACCAATGAGGCCCCGACAGAGGCCCAGTTTGCCCAGAGCCACAGAGTAGGTCAGTGGCAGAGCCTGGCCTTCCTAAACCCTTCCCCACCATAAGCGGCCTAATCAGAGAGAGGAAAAGTGAGTCTGTCCTTTGGCCTTAGTTTACCCAGCTGTGAAATGGGGATGACTCAGAGCATACCTTCACCCCAAAATGTAGAAAAGAAAAAACAATACCATTTTTATGGAGCACTCTCTACAGACTAAGCCTTTCAGGAACATGGTGGGTCCATTTATCCCCACTTGACAGAAAACCAGAGGCCCGCGTGCCCTCATTGGGTTGGGGGCTGATAACTCCTTGAGGTGGGGGACACTAACCAGTTTGCAGACCCCCTTTTTCCTACAGCTCTGCCTCCTGGATGCCAGGGCAGAGTACACCTGGCTGGGTGCCCAGTCTCCCACCCCCTGAGGGCCAAGGGGAGGTGGGTGCCCTACATAGACCTCACTAACGCTGCCTCTCTCCTTCCCTCCGGCAGAACCAGAGGGGTCAGGGGCAGGCCCTGCCAGCGTGGGCACCCCCAACCTCCTTCGGGGCAAGAGGGGAGGACACACCGCCAACTACCGGATCGTGGCCCCCAGGAGCCGCAACAAGAGAGGCTGAGGGCGGTGGTGGCCCCTCGGGTGGACCAGGCCAGCTGCCTCTGGGGACCGCCCTTCCATATTTATTAACGTTCTCAGGGTCCCTCTGCCACCTAGGCCTTTGGGGTAAGCAGGTCTAGGTCCTGGCACCCCAGGCATGGCTGCCACGTATGAGGCTCAGCAGGGACGGGGTCTGAGAGGTGGCCCAGGAGGGAGGTGGGGCCTTGCTCGGGGCCCCGAGCCTGTTTCCCTCTGTGAAATGGGGTGATGCAGGCCTGCAGGGAATGGGTGGCAGGTTCAGGTTCATGGTTTGTCTTCCCATCAGCTGCCCAGGCATCGGGCCTGCAGGCACTGCGGGAGCTGAAGCTCTGCCTGGCCCTCAGCACATGCAGGGACTTGGAGGGCAGAGTCGCCTCCCTTCCTCCCCATCAAACCCCACACCTCTTCTCTGGTTCTCTGGTTTCTGGTGCTGGGTTCCCAACCCTGAGGTCAAGCTGCCTGAGCTGACAGGATGCTGTGGACTCCTCCACTCAGTTCTGCCCCGGAGCCCAAGCTACTCCTATGTCCCAGGCTGCCGGGTGGGGGCAGGGACATGGAAAGGGAGGAGCCACCTGCTCCCACAGCCTGTGACCGTCACAGGAAATAGGTGCTACCGGCCAATAAAGGCCCCGGCCTGTTCCCCACCAGCCTGGCCTCAGTGTGTGCTTTATGGGGGGCAGCGGGCAAGGCCAGGGGCCTCGTTTCTCTTCTGTGGCCTTCACTGCCCGCCTGCAAAGCAGGTTTGAGGCTCCCCTGGCCATCACCTGGGCAAGGGGGTGAGCAGAACAGCACTCAGGCCACCCCACCCGCCGGCCAGGTGTCCAATGGCTGTGGCTTCTGAGAGGCCTGGGGAGCAAGGAGCTGCCAAGCCTGAGGGCAGCTTCTAGCCTGGGTACCCAGCAGCTCTGAGCCTGTGTGCACAACCGAGGAAGTGAAAGCAATGGCGGGCCCTCAGACTTCCCAGTCTGTTTCTGGGCCCCAGCTGGTGACCCCCAGCAGGGTCGGTCAGTCTCCAGGTAGCAGTGCAGGACGCAGTGCCGACTGCTGCAGGACGTGTAGCCCCTGCACCGCCCCTCACAGTCCAGCTTCCCAGGCGCCCCTCTGCCTTACCCCTCCCCCAGCCCAACCCCCTGCCCTCTTAGCTCTGTCTGCGCCTCCCCTCCCTGGGAAGGCCAAGGCCCGAGGGGGGCCAGGAGGGAGGAGCTGCCGCTTCAAAGCTGAGGAAGCTTCTCCCCCACAGCACCCCCACCCTTTGCTTCCTGCCCAAGGGGCCCAGCAGAGCGCAGCCCCCAGCCTCCCAGCCTGCTCTGGGCGGGGCCTAGGAGACCCACAGAATTGGGCCTGTCCAGCGGGTACCCTGGGGGCTGGGGACAGTGAAGGGATGGTATTCCCGGGTAATCAGGGAGGGCTTCCTGGAGGACTCTGTGTAGGCTGAGACCACGGATGGGTAGAAATTAGCTGGGAAACAGATGATTAAGAATGCTCCGCAGCAGTGGGTCCAGCCAGCAAGACCGAGGTGGAGGACAGAGCTTCCTGGAGGAAGAGGCTGTGTGGTGCAGAGACGGTAACGCTGCATCTGGACATCAGGGAGCTGCTCTCCTGCAATTGGCTGTTCGTTCACGTTCATTCATTCACCCCCTGATGCCAGCACAGAAGAGTCGGATACAACTGCTGTCCCCAAGGAGTCCAGGTTGAAAAGAACCGGTTTTTATTCTACACAGTGCAGGGCGTGAGGGGCCTCCCCTGCGCCCACGTGACTTAGTACTTGGGGCTGGAACTCTGTGTAACCATGGGCAAGGACTCTCGTCGCCTGAGGGCCGGCCTGTGCTAGGGGGGCCCAGGACCTTCAGGGTGGGCGAGCCCACCCCTCCCCTGAGTCACCAGGGCCTCAGTGCCCACCTCCCCGCTGACCAGCAGTGACACCGCACCCTCCACACGACCTGTGGCTGCTAGCGCCACCACGGCCTGCTCCATGGGGAAGCCCATGCGTTCCAGCTGCTGCAGCCTGTGCGATGGAGGGGACAGGGAGTGTCAGTCAGGGCCACCTCCAGCCCCCACACCAGGGGACCCCACCCCTGCCCCCCCTGCCCTACCGTAGAGAGGAAACAGAGGACTTGGGCAGCCAGAGCGGGCTCCTGGGAACCTGGGCTGGCCCCTCAAGGAGCGAGGCCTGGATCCCCTCCTGCAGCATCTGCTCATCGAGGGCTGCCCACAGCGGGGAGCCGGGAGGAAAGCTGGGCCCAGGCCAGGCCAGGCCAGCCTCTGAGGAGCCCTCCCAGTTCGGCTGCACAGGCCCCAGGCCTGGTGGGAGTGGGCCTGAGCCTTCACTGTCAGACCAGAGACTAGACGAGGCCGCGTACGGAGGTCCAGGGGTAGAAAGCCTGGAAGGGCAGAAACAGGAGAGGGCTTGACTGCCAGCTGCTGCCACCGCTCCCGCCACCAGGGCTGGGGGCCTGGGCATCCCCCTCACCTCACTCCAGGAAGGGTGACGGGCAGCTCAGCCACACTGCCTGGGGCGGGAAGGAGCCGGAGTGGCCAGCACCCCAAGACCCTGCACAGGAAGCCCTGCAGCGCCCGCAGCCTCCGCTCAGAGGGCTCCAGCCACTGGAAGGCCCCGGCTGCATCTGTCTGCCCAGGCAGGGCGGCTGGTCAAGGAAAACCACAACCAGCCAGGAGGGAGCCCAACGCCATGCCAGACCCCGTGCCAAGTGCGCGATGGGCACTGCCTCTTGTCTCCTCACTGTGGCCCTGCCAGGGATGTTGCCACCCCGTCAGCAGTGGAAGTTCAGGGAGGAAAAGGGGGCTGCCTGAAGCTACTCAGCCAGTAAGACAGCGGTTCTCAACCTGTGGGTCGCGACCCCTTTGGCAGTCGAACGACCCTTTCACAGGGGTCGCCTAAGACCATCCTGCATATCAGATATTGACATGACGATTCCTAACAGTAGCAACATTACAGTTATGAAGTAGCAACGAAAATAATTTTGTGGTTGGGTCACAACATGAGGAACTGTATTGAAAGGGCCAGAAGGTTGAGAACCACTGCAGTAAGAGGTGGAGCTGGATGAGCCTCACCCCAAAGACCTGTCTCATCCAACGCCGGGCCCAGACCCCTATCTACCTGCTCAGGGCTCTGACTCAAGGCGTGAGCTTGGACCCATGGACACAACCCCTATCGCCCTCGGCCAGGCCCACGTGCTCCCCAAACCAGGATTCAGCGAGGCCTCGGCAGCTCGCGTCCCTAATCCTAAACAACTATAGGAGGTCGCCTGTGCCCACTCCTCTCTCCGACTGCACTGTTTTCCCAATAGGCACTAAGTATCTTGAAGCAAAAGCCTGTGTTTAAAGCCCAGAGGGCCCAGCTCACTCTCACCCTGGCCTTTGCACCATCTGTGCCCCGCCTCCTTTTTCACTTCTCTTTACCCAAACCCCTCATCCTGTGTCTCAGCTTCGAGACCACCTCCACTTAAAAGGTCCAGGTTAGGGGCCTCCTTGGGCCCCCTCAGCCCTCCTCTGTTCCCCAGTGAAGTGTAGTGGGCACCTCCGCTGGCCACAGCCCGGAGCCTGGCTAGAGGACTCGGAGATGCTCCTGGAACGTGTGCCCGGCTTTCCGGCATTGTTAGGCCTGACCCCTTATGCCAGGTCCCACGTACCCTGGGAGTCACAACCCACACATCGACACAGGCCCAGGGTCCGGGTGCCAGTTCCCACGTACCCTGGGAGCCCAGTCACAACCCACACATCGACACAGGCCCAGGGTCCGGGCAAAGGATACAGGCCAGGCCAGCCAGGAGGCCGCAGAAGAGCTGCAGGAAGGGTGGCTCGGAGGTGAGCAGTGGTGTCAGGGCAAGCAGCAACCATGGCAACAGCCACGGTGGCACCGCCCCATGGAGCCCTCTAGGGTGGTACCCCTGCCCTGATAGCATGGCCAGGTGGACGGGCATGTACCCGCAGCCACCGGCTGCAGCGGACACCCCGAGGCCTGCCAGCAGCACCGCCATTAGCCCGGCAGCCAGGGCGAGTAGGGTGGAGGCGTGCAGGAACCGCAGCGTGCCCAGGTGGTACTCCTGCCGCCAGCCCAGCACGGGCAGGAGCAGCAGACTCAGGAGCAGGCTGGGTAGGGCCGTGTGACCCAGAGCATGGGTCAGCAGCCGGTGTGCTGGGGGAGAGAAGGGGCTTATGTGCCAGGTTAGTGGCCCCCACCCCCAAGGCTGTCCCAGGTGTGCCAGGTTGGGAATTGCCCTCTGCCAGGGCCACCCCCTAAGCCAGCGTCGCCTCCCCAGGAGCCAACATTGGCCCGCTGCCAGCAGTCATGCGTGGAGGGAACCAACGGCTTCCAAACACAATGGCCGCTGCCCCGCTGCAATGAACAGAACAAGCCAGACCCACCCCTCAGGCTTCTCAAGAGCAATCAACCCTGATGAGTCACTTAACCTGTGGGCATCACTTAGATTCTTCAACTGTAAATGGAAGCTGCTGTTGTTATTGGGAGCCGGCACTCGGCTGCACTTTGCACTCAGCTGGGGTCACTCAAACTCCCACCCTCGTGCTTAAGTGAAAGCCTTAGTTCTTATTTCAAGAGAAAGATGTCAGTAACGGGAAACTTCTGAAAAGAATTCCTACTCACAGGCTCCCACCCCCTGCTGGCTCTGCTGCCCTCCTTGGCTGTGGGTGAGGTGGGCATGCTCCGTCCAAGGCTGCCCCTCCCGGGGGCATGCCGCTCCCACCAAGTCATCTTGGGCCCTACAGCCTGTCTCCTGCCCCCTCCAAGGCCCAGGCAGCCAGCCCTCACCCTGCCAGGGGTCCAGCAGCAGCTCTGGGGCCAGGGCCAGGCTGGGACCGGCCCCCACCAGCCACAGGCAGCTCATGAGCAGCATCAGGACTGAGGAGGCAAGAGGCAGCGCTGGAGACAGTAGGCCAGGGGGGCCTCTGTCATACATAGCTTGGCTGAAGGTGGTCAAGGGCAGTCTTGGGGTTGTGTGCTACGGGTAAAGGAGAACATAACAGTTATTATGGCAGCTCTTATCGGATGTCCTTTCAATTGCCCTCAATTTTACAGAAGTAGGAACTGAGGCTGGAGGGACAGGCCCAGCAACTCGGCCATAGAGGAGCTCAGATCCTAACCATGTGCTTGGCCATCTTTCCAGTCCACTGGCCTGTGTCTGAGGATGGGGACAGCCAGACCAAAAAGGCCATGAGCCCTGATGAGCCCTGAAGAGCCCAGGGAGGGAGGCACACGGCCAGGAAAGTTGAACTGGGGCCCTGGACTCCCAAAAAGAGGGATGTAGCCTCCCAGGGCAAATTCAGGGCCATCTCCAGCTTCGCTCCGGCTGCCAACCAACTACCTTCCTCCCTCCTACCCAACAGCCAGACCAAAAAGGCCCTGAGCCCTGAAGAGCCCGGGGTGGGAGCACAGGGCAGGAAAGTTGAACTGGGGCCCTGGACTCCCCAAAAGAGGGATGTAGTCTCCCAGGGCAAATTCAGGGCCATCTCCAGCTTCCCTCCGGCTGCCAACCAACTACCTTCCTCCCTCCTACCCTCCACTGTGCCCAGCCTTAGACTTCCAAATGGCCTCGGCTGCCCCAGACCCAGGGGTAGAGCCCAGCCAATGGTTAGGCCGGTTAGGGAGGGGGTGGGGCAGAAGGGTTTGAGGAGGGGTAGCAGGAGCTCCCCGAGTGCATACAAAGTGACCCTGGACTGAGACGTTCACTTCCACAAAGCCCTAAGCACAGCCCCCCTTGTCCTACCCCCACCCCCCGTTTTCACAGGAACGTTCCGGTGTCCCCTTCTTCCCGCTGTGTATCCCGGGGCGAGCTTTCCAACCTCTGAGCCTCTACTTCCTCTTCTGTAAAATGGGGATGAAGAGAAAGGCGTGACTAAGGCAGCCCAGGACTCCTGCTCATTTAACTGCAGCCAGCAGGCTAATTGTGGGAGGCCGGCGTCACCACCAGCCGCCCCAACACGGGGAGGCCTCAACTCGAAGGCAGCTGCTCCAAACTGGCTCGTTCAAACTCTGGCTTCAAACGTGCCCATTCCCTCCAACAGGGCAAGGCTTTTCCTCCCGTCCTCTCCCCTCACATCCAGCCTGTCCTTCAGGCCCTGGGGGGACCCCCCTCATGCCTGGCCAGGTCTGTCTGTCTGTCTGTCTGAGGGGTCCCACTGAACTGACTTCACAGGACAGGAAGCAAAATCCTAGAGAGACAACAAGGCTGCCTCATCCGCTCCCTTGCCACCTGGATCCTCCGCATCAAAAGCCACCTGCCAGTTTCCTGCAGAAAACAATGTAGAAAGCTCCTCCGCCTCCATATGCAAAAGGCAAGCTCCTGCCTGGCTGGCTGGTGTGGCTCAGATCTCAGATCTCCGAACCAGGAGGTCCTGGTGCAATTCCTGGTTCAGGGCACAGGCCCGGGTTGGGGGCTCCATCCCCAGTGTGGGGCGTGCAGGAGGCAGCCAATCAGTGATGCTCTGCCATCATTGATGTTTCTCTCTCCCTCTCCCTTCCTCTCTGAAATCAATATATATATATTTTTTAAGGCAAACTCCTTTGCACCGTTGGAAGCCCAGCTCATCAGACGTCCCCCCCTTTCCTGGCCCCCACATTGTGGGTCGTGTCCTATCTAATGAGCACAGCTTAGCCTGGCGGGTGGTCTGAGCTGGAGGGGTGTGTGTGTGTGTGTGTGTGTTGGGGGCCGGGGGTCGCTCCTCTGACTCATCCCCAGGTCCCCCGGGTGCTCCCACACCTACATGGTGCTTTGTGTGTCCACTGGAGGAAAAACACTGGCGTGGCATCCCGCCGAGGGCTCTGGGTGAGGCTGGGCTCAGAGGTGAACCCAGGAAGCCAAGCGCTCCTCTGACTCATCCCCAAGTCCCCCGGGTGCTCCCACACCTACATGGTGCTTTGTATCCACTGGAGGAAAAACACTGGCGTGGCATCCCGCCGAGGGCTCTGGGTGAGGCTGGGCTCAGAGGTGAACCCAGGAAGCCAAGGCACCCACTGCAGCCCCCGCCCCTGCACCCTCACAGCCCCTCCCCCGCCTGCGCACGGGTGACGGCCTTCCCCACGACAGACAGACCCGGGGCTGAACCCTGGGGCCGCTGCGTCCTTAAAATGGGGCCGTGCACCACCAGGCCCGCCTCCCGCACCGGGCGGCCGGAGGCTGGAAGGGGAAGGCGAGGACCCACCGGGAAGATTCCTCCGGCGGATGGAGAGAGGGGGGGGGGGGGCAAGCTGCGGATCGGATCCAGCTTTGTGGCTTTAGGAAAAGTACCCCAATTCCAGGGGCCTGTTCCCCCTTCTGTAAAGTCAAGGGTATTAGGCGAGGGATGATTAAAGGGCTTTTTCAACCTC